ACATGCATACTAGACTAGGTGCTGTCCTTCTTGTTAAGCTTAGTACAACGCATACACAAATTCAATCTTTTTTCTTCTCAATCACTTATGCCTCGAGCGACGGACTTAGCTATGAAGAAGAACAGCCCTCACTCTAGTATCACACAAGTTCCCTTTGGCATAGCCTCAGTGAAGAGGGAGGGGGGGGGGTTTGAAGTACATGATGATCATGACCTCATGAATACAGTTGACACTCAAGTAAACGCTGAAAAAGCCATCATGGACAAAGCTATATCGAGGAGTAAAAAAGAATGTTACAGAGTCAATACAAGAAAAATAGCTCCTGCAGGTTTAATCCCGATTTTTTCCGTTAATATAAGAATTTTGCGAGCACAAGAGCCGAAATCCTAAAAGATAAGAATAGTGATAATAAAAGTAGTGGTATTCGCAAAAACAATCGAAACAACGGTAGTAAAAGAGCTAGAAATAATATTAAAAATAATTAACCGAGTTACATTGCTAATTACATTCGTGCCATTCGTGCGGCACCTGAAAATATTTAGGATTTTTTTTTTTAATCCTGAATCGATGGCGAAATTCCGATATCAAAAACTTGTCCCATGGTTATAGAACCCACTCGTGTCAAGATGATTATCATACACCGCTCGACGTTATACATTCGTAAGACACCAAGTTAAAATAACAAACGTTTCTACGGTGGAAGATCTGATTCGCAGACACAAGACAACAACGGTAAAGTGTAACCCTAATCGCTGAAAGCAATTCGGATTTGAACGTCAAACACACAGCAACAAATAACGTATTGCCACATGCAGTGAACAATAAATGGGTCAAAGTGTTTGATTGATCCGTAATACCATTACGAACTAATATACCAATAGAAAAACTAACAAAAAAACCAAAACCAGGTGTTGAAACATGGTTTATCTCACGAGTTATGAATAATAAATGCTGCGAATCGATGAATAAAAATTTTTCAAGCATTGATCTCGTTCATATCGAGCAAGTACTCCTCAAAGCATTTCTGCGAAAGGCCTTTTTTTTAATTTCTTTCTTAAAAAAAGGAAACAAAAACAGGAGAAAAAAAACACTTTTGGGAAAACTTCAGCTAAAATGCGAAAAACGACTAGCAGGTGTTTTAAAAAGCGCATCTCTAGGCAAAAGAACTCTAACAATGGCATTAACTGTAAAAACAAACACACAAGCTAGCCTTGGCCAGCAGTTATAACTGACGTTAAGACAATCCTCAAAAACTAACGTAAGCAGTTCGTTGCGTCAAATTAAAAAAGG